TGGAAGATAGAAAAGATAGAATGCTTGATGGCATAGGTGCAAGGCAAACACTTTATGAACAAAACTCCACTTACACAGGAAGAATTTTGAAGAAATACCAACTGGGATCTCATTTTATTGAAAAGCTTTTGCACAACAAAAGAAACCACCAACAAAGTGAAGACACAACACAACAGGGTGAGAAAAAGTTTTGCTAGCTATTCCTCAGATAAAGAACTAATATCTAGAATTTACATAAAGCATTCAAAAAATCAGACCTCCAGATGAAGTACAAACAGCAAATAAATATATGAAAAACTGTTAACATCAGTGGTCAATCAAAAAATGCAAATGAAAACAACACTGAGATTCCATCTTGCTCCAGAAAGAATGGAGAATTATCAAGAAATCAACCAATGAAAAATGCTGGCAGGGCTATGGAGAAAAAGGAACGCTTCTCCACTGAGCAAGGTACTAGCAAAAAACAAAAACAAAAAAACAAACCTGTGGGTCAGTGGAAAAGATTAGAAGATGCAGAAACATCTACATGGGAGTGGGAGTGTAGACTGGTGCAACCACTGTGGAAATCAGTATGGAGATTCAGGTTCCATTGACCCAGCTATTCTCCTTCTTGGCATCTTCCCAAAAGAATAAAAAGCATCATACCACAGAGATATATGTACACTCATGTTTATGGCAGCACAATTTATAATATCTAAATCTTGGAAACAATCCAAGTGCCCATCACTGGATGGCAAAGATGTGGTTTTCTTATATAACTGAGTACTACTCAACCATAAAAGGATAAACTTGAGACCTTTCTAGGTAAATGGATGCACCTTGGGACCATATTCTTAAGTGAAATAAATCAGATACACATGTTTAACTATTGCATTATTTCTCTGGCGTGAGAAACCAAAAGTGTAAATAAGGACCAAAATGTATAATAGATATTGTGAAATAGGTAGAAAATGTTTGGATGGGAGGGGGAATGAGGAGAGGGGAGGGGGAAAGGAAGGAAGGGAAAAGAAAAAAAAAAAGATAATACAAGAAAAAATGGAAACAAAGCTTTTGTAAATAATGAGAGGAGTTGAAGAGAAGGGAGGAGACTGAGGAAAAAAGAGGAATCAAGTTATATGATGTACAGGTACAAATTCTCTATCATTGGGGCTGGGGATTTAGCTCAGTGGCACAGCGCCTGCCTGGCAAGCACACGGTCATGAGTTCGATTCCTGGTACCAGAAAAAAAAAAAATTTCCCTATGATGAATGTGATCATTATGTATATCTGAAATGTACCAATAAAATTAATTTCAAAAAAGAGGCAGTGATCTCTACTAGATTAAGAGTGGGGACTTTGTTTTATTTTAATTTGATTTCCTCACTATCCAGCAAAGTACCATGCATGTAGGATAAATGTTATAAATGTTATAGTGTTTAAATTTAAATTATATTTTTGTATATTTGTATCAAACTGTTATACTCATATTTATTTAGTAGTGATTCTTTTAATTCAAATAAAACAGGAAACAAAAAACAAATCTTTTTTTTTTGAGACAATGTCTCATCATGTGTCCAGGATGACCTTGACCTCATTAGGTAGCCCAGTTTGGCCTTGAACTCCCAGTGAGCCTCCTGCCTCCGCCTCCCATGTGCTGGTATTACAGACATGGGCCGCCACACCCAGCAGAATAAAACCCATTTTGATTCTGACAAAGCCAGTGCAATAGACCTGTGCTCTTCACTGTGTTCCTGAAACGATGTCTTTTAAGAATGTTGGAACACAAGCAACATTATTTTGCTAAGCCTATTGGTATGTTTTCAGTGAGCTTCTGTGTAGACATCTGACTTTAAAATCAAGACTCTTGTCAAGAATATGCTGTGGTTAAGACACACATACACACAAACACACACACACACACACACACACACAGCACACATGCAAGTCTGCTAGAGCTAGAGATAAGAGACCTAGATGTGGGTCCCCAACCTGCCCCTTGATCTGAAAAAAGCCATTCAATACTTGTGGGCCTCAGTTTCTTCTGGGAAAATAAAAAAAAAAAACAAGTATATAAGAATGAATAGCTTTAAAGTCTGTAGGATTAATCTTGTTCAAACATTGATATGTCCTAATTCAAGAAGAACCAAGGTCTGGACATGGTAGCACACCCTTGTAATCCCAGCTACTCAGGAGGCCAAGGCTGGAGGATTGCAAGTTCAAGGCCAGCTTGACTTAGCAAGACCACGTTTTAAAATATGAAATAAAAGAGTTGGAGATGCAGGTCAGTGATAGAGTATCCCCAGGTTCAATCTCTAGTTCCACATACACAAAAAAGGAAGAATGAAAAGAAAAGTCAATGTATAAACTTTGTAGTTAAGAAAGAGATAATTTTTTACTTGCAAATCACTTTTGCTAAATCACTATTTTAAAAATTCCCCCAGGGGCTGGGGATTTAGCTCAGCGGCAAAGCGTCTGCCTGGCAAGCGCAAGGTCGTGAGTTCGGTTCCCGGTACCGGAGAAAAACCAAAAAAAAATAAAAAAATAAAAAAATAAAAATAAAAAAAATAAAAATTCCCCCAAAGATAGGAAAAATATTTTAAGACATTGGAATGGGCAATAATTCTTTGGGGATAAGACCTCAAAAACATGGGAAACAAACAGCAAAATTAGACAAATGTAATCACAAATGTAATCAAGATAAATGTAATCACAAATCAAGACAAATGTAATCACAAATGTAATCAAGATAAAAAACTTCTGTTCAATTAAAAAAAAACATAATGAAGAGACAACCTACAGAATGGGAGAAATATTTGCAAACTTTACATCTGGCAAGAGATTAAAATATCTAGAACATGTAAGGAATTCAACAAGCTCAATAGCAAACACACACACACAGAACCTGATTTTTAAAATGAGCAATAAACCTAAATACAGTAGATATTTTTCAAAGGAAGACATTGAAATGGCCAATAAGTGTATGAAAAAATCCTCAACCACTAATCATCACAGAAATGCAAACCAAAACCACAAAAAGATATCACCTCATTCCAGTAAGAATGGCTATTCTTAAAAAGACAGAAGATAACAAGTCTCAGTGAAGATGTGCAGAAAAGGGAACCCCAACCGTCATGGAAAACAGTGTAGAAGTTCCTCAAAAAATTAAAAGTAGCCAGGCTTGGCAGCAATGCCTGTAATTCCTGCACTTGGGAGGCTAAGGCAGGTGGATTGCTATGAGTTCAAGGCAAGACTGAGCTACATAATGAGGTTAAGGTCAGCCTGGACACATGATGAGACCCTGTCTCAAAAAGACAAAAATAAATAAATATATAAAAAATAACAGTAGAACTACCATATGATCCAACAACCCCATATATATCCAAAAGGAATGAAGCCCATATGTTAAATAGATATCGGCACTTGCATGTTCATGGCAACATTACCTACACTAGCCAAGAAATAGAAGCAACCTAAGGATCCACCAACTGATGGGTAGATACAGACAGTGTGGTACATATATACACATGGCAGAATACCATTCAGCCATAACAAAGAATTACATTTCATCATTTGCAATAACATATATGGAGCTGGGAATCATTATGCCAAGTGAAATAAGCCAGGAAGGGTACCATGTGATCCATGGTACCCTTATGTGGTATATAAAAATATGTGGACCCATATGTGGAATATAAAAATATTGGTCTTGTGGAAGTTGAGAGTATAAGGAAGTTAGCAGTGACTGAGTAGAATAGAAAGAGGGAGAGCTTGACCTGTAGGTGCCGAGTTACAGTTAGATAGGACTAAGGCAAGCTGGCATGCGATTGCATGGTAGGATGACTGTAGAAATTGATAATCCACTGTGCAGTAAAAAAAGCTAGGAAAAAAGTTTCAGTGTTTTTCACCCTAAGAAATGATAAATGCTTGAGGAGATATGTTTAACCTGATTTAAACATTATACAATGTGCACATATATGGAAAAAATCATGTAGTACCCCATTAATATGTAAATGTTTATGTATCAGTTGAAATTAAGTTAAAATTTTTTAAAAGTATATGTCCTTATGAAGGAAAATTTTCCCCAGGATTTCCTGCAATAGTGGAAACCTATTGAAGTTAAAATATGATTTCAGGTACAAATCTCCAATTTTTTTATGAATAGTGTATCACAAATACCCTGGCTAAAAAAGCCCTTTTCCCTATATTATGACTTTCATAGACAAGATTCTGTGTACCTGTGTGTGTGTATGTGAGCATGTGACGTGTCCGTTTTGGAAAAAGTTTGGACGGCTAAATCTCCCTTCAGATATGCAGCCAAACAACAGCAGATTCCATGCGAATCATTCGCTTGGAAAGAAAATGAAGCGTGACTTCGTCTGACACATGGCTTCATCTCCAGCGCACTCTTGGTCCAGAGTTCTGAAATCAAGGCTGGACGAAGAAGACTGCTGCATGCGATCATGCAGTCACCCTTTCCCCTCCTTCAGCCACCGCCAGAGACTGCTGCTCAGTGGTACCGTTCAAAGCACTTCAGTACATACTAACTCAAGCTATTTTCCCCCAAAGTGTGTGCCACTGAAAAATTTGCTTCTGATCTCCCCAAGACTATGTGTGCTCCAGATGTCTTTGAACTCTCACCGTAGGATGTGGTGCAAATGATCCCAGATTGCCTTGGTTGTCCTAACAGTTTCCCTGCTGAAGGCCTTCCGCTCTGCAAAAGCTGACCTCCACCCTCTACCTCCCAACGCGGACAATCCAATTTGCTCCCTGTCACTCTAGGCTGCCGATTTGGATCCGAGCGATGAAGGCACAGTTACAGATGGCAGCCTTCTTTAACTGAGAGATTCCCGTGTTGGTGTGTTTTTAGGATGACATTTCTCCTGGTATTTAGCAACGTTTCTAGCATGTGCATTAAAATGGGATGCAGTTCTCCCAGGTGCATTTACGTGAACAGCCATTTTTCAGTGAATTTTCCCAACACCTGGAACAGCTTATGGTGAACTTTTGCTGTCCGCTTGCAGATTCGGAAGATGGTCTTGCGCAGAAGCAGCGGACACCTCGCCGACGATGTCAGCAACCCAAAATGTTGAGTAGCCCTGAGGACACCATGTACTATAACCAGTTAAACGTGAGTTCAAAGTGGCCATAAAGCTGTTTCGCTGGCTTTGTTTCCAGTTAATAATTCTGTTATTAATACCTGTTCCAGCCCTGCCAGCCCCACCCCCACTCTCTTACGCTCTCTCGTGAACATGTGCTTAGGCTCTTTATCTGTTGCTTTCATGTCAGGATGTCTGCCTTCACGGTGAATAATTGATGTGGTTTATCAAAGACGAGCAAGATGCATGCTTCATCAGGCTCAGTTGAGCCCTTTGATCAAAAAAATTATGCTGTGACTTCTGATATTATCAGCATCTGCTTGCATTCAACACAAAATCACTTTGAATTAAAAATTAACGACTTGCTGCTTTGCTTTGACTGTGTGTTCTTGGGCCTCTCCACAGGGAACTCTAGAATATCAAGGGAGCAAGAGGAAGCCAAGAAAACTTGGGTAAATATCTGTCTTCTTAGTTCTAAGCAACTGTAAACAGAAGGGGTCCTTTGTGATATTACAGAAAATGCAAAACTTTCCAGAGAGGCTTCTAAAAATATTCAACCCGGATATCGCCACCGTTATTGACACTGGAAACTACTTTTCACAATAGCAAGGATACAAAACTTTAGTCTATTCTGTCCGGAAAGGCTGAAATTGTCACCTTAAGGCAAATGTTATTTGTCATAATTGTGCTAGGGAATTTTACTTTCTTCATAATAGAAGACTTGCAGAAGGTTTTGTAAGAATCTTCCAGAAAAAAAAAGAATCTTCTGCAAATAAGAGCATTCCATAAAAGACAAGCAGGCCATTTCCTCCACACTATCCTACCCTGGGCCTTAAAACATGCACAAAAGAAAACTTCCCCAGTGGTGAAAGAGGAGAGTAATGATTTTGTGGCTCCTTTGATGGGCAGCATCTCCGTTGAGAATAGCAATGAAGTGATACTTGGTACTAGTTTGAGAATTGGGGGAGGACAGGAAAGAAACTCTCTCATCTAGAGGAAGCCAGATGGAGACAGATAATTTAATCACAAAAGTCAAGTTGCAATATGACCATAACTTCCAGACAGTACAAAAATGAACCCATTATCACTGTGTGACCCAGAGGTGAAAGGCTACGTGGGTGAGACCCCACTATCTCTACGGGGGGAAACCCTAAGCCCCTCAGACTGTACTTCCCTCCAGTCTTGGGAGCCAACCCTCTTCCGGCGACTCACACAACCCTAGCTGTCTCTGTGCTGTAGCATTTGTTTCCTTTTCTGTTGAAAATTCTCTTCTTTTTTTCATTACAGCCAAATCAAAGTTCTGGATGGCGAAGATGAATATTACAAATCCCTCTCCCCTGTGGCCTGTGTCCCTGAGGAAGGCAATGCAACCCACCCTTTCTTTTTTAACTCATCCTCAAAAGGAGATTCTCTTGCTCAACACTGAGTTATGCTTCCTGATCCCAAGTCTGTCCAAGGCGAGAACACTTGCAGTAACTGACAGCCGGTCTCTGGAGAAGGCGCTATTATGCAGCCAGTGTCTTTGGCCTCGTGGCCTGTGTCTGAGCCTTACTAAACGACTTGCACACTGCTAAATACCGCTCCTATTTCTACCAGTCTCCCACATCTGTTGTGTAGTGTGAGCTGGGCAGTCTCTCCTTTTCTCATCTCGTGGGTCCCTGCTGCAGGATGCTGAGATGCGTCTGCCCCAATAATGACAGTCATTCAGGCCCCAGATATCTAAGAAGGTAGCAAACAATCTCATCTTAGCCAATCACGAGCATGGATAAGTTTTCTTTTGTTTCCCACTGAGTTACCTTTCAATGCATGCAGAATCTCCCCAGCAGAAATCCAGGGGTCCTTTTCCTGCTCTCCTCTCCAATCTCTCCTGTGACTGGGCTTGCATGTCCCGCCTCCTTCTTGGCCTGAGTGGGCACCGTCACTGAGCATACCCGCTGCGTGGGGAGTGAGAAGTCGGGAGTGAGAAGGAAAATTGCACCTCTGTGAGTCCAGCCACATTATGCTGTTATTCCATGCACTGGTAGCTGTTTCCTCTAGACTGTGAGTGGCTGCCAGGGACGGCTTTGCTCCGGTCTGTCTTTGTGTGCACAGAACCTAGCACAGGCCTGGCAGAGCAGGCATCCGGTAGAGGTGGGATGAGTAGAGAGACTTCATCTAGTTACAGACACCTCTGACAGGACAGTGACTTCCAGTTACACGTTATAGATGAATAATTTTTTCTTATACCATCGAACCTGACTTTTCACTCAAGGTTGAGCTGATCCTATTGTAATGATACATGTACTACTCAATATCACTCAGTACAACAAGCTTTTCTGAGCACCTACTCTATGTAAAACAGTATTTAAGATTACTGTGTGGGGACTGGGGATTTAGCTTAGCAGCAAAGCGCCTGCCTGGCAAGTGCAAGGTCATGAGTTCGATCCCTGGTACTGCAAGAAAAACAGAAAAAAAAAAACAAAAAAAAACCAAAAACAACACAAAAAGATTACTGTGTGATAAAATTTTTAAAATCTTGTAAGACCCTTTTTTCAGAATAGATGTTAATTTTTTTAATACTCTACAATGCTTAACAGATAGTATGCATGGGAATACTTGTATTTTAAGAAAAATACCTTCAAGCATGTAAAAAAAATATCATTTACAGGGTTTTGAAAGAGAGGGCATTAATAAGCATTTTATAGACAGAATGGTAATGTAAGAGAAAGATCTCAGAGGTTATAATTTTAACAGAAAAAATAACTGTAGCCTATTTTTAAATAAGTTACAGGAATCTTAATTAAAGATGCATCTTAGTTTTTTCCAGATATTCACTCAGAAGTAATGTTTATAAAGTGTGCAAGTAGAACAAAAGAAACAAACAAAAAACTTTACGTTACTGTTCAAGAAATAATACCTGGGGCTGTCTATGTATCTCAGTGGTAGAATGCTTGCCTAGCATATGCTAGGCCCTGGATTTCACCTCCAGAACTACAACAGAGAGAGACACAGAGAGCGAGGGAGAGAGGGGGAGAGGAAAAGGGAGGGGTATGTAGTAGCCTAAAATATACAGATTTTAAATTAATGATATGAATGTATGAGTGCTTACAGAAATTCCACTTTTACCCTTAATTAGTCTACTTTTAATATTAGCTGCTTTACAAACTATTGAATAGGAATGGTCGTAACTTTCTGCTTGTCCATGTACAATGTAATTGTAAACCTGCCTTGTTTCTGATTAAAATATATCTATAAACAAAGTTGAAATGGAAATACGAGATATTATAAAATCACACTTCAGAAGCTCTATAAGGATTAGTCAGTGAAAGGGCTCTAACTCCCTACTTTTAAAACAGTGGTAACTATCAGCTGCAGCATAGACAAGACATATTCTTCAGCTATTCATAATACCACAAACTCAAAAGGCAATTCTTAGCTGGGCATATGGTGCATACCTGCAATTCCAGCTACTAGGGAGGCTGAGGCAGGAGGGTCACAATTTCAGGAGCAGCTTGGACAACTTAGTGAGACCCTGCCTCAATTTTTTTTTACATTTTTTTTTAAAAAGGACTAAAGGTATAGTTCAGTGATAGAGCATTTGCCTACTTTGTGTGAGGTCCTGGGTTCCATCCCTAGTACCATACACAAAAAGAAAAAATTCTTAAATTGAGTACATGAGAATGATACAACTTGGGCTCTCATGTTTTACTAGATTTATCAAAATAGGGGCTGGGGATTTAGCTCAGTGGCACAGCACTTGCCTGGCAAGTGCAAGGTTGTGAGTTCAATTTCCGGTACCAGAAAAAAAAAAAAGAAAAAAAACAAAAAAATTTTTAAAAACACAAAATAATATGCACATGACAAAAAACCAAACAAAAGTCCAGAAGTCCACAAGGCTGACAGTGGACAACAGTCCTCTCCTCTATGTGTCCACACCATAAGTAACCATTTAAGAAAATTATTTTTTAATCCTAATTCTTCTGATGGTTTCCATCACATCTCTGGATGCGTGAGCCACTTGATGGTATTCTGGTCAATGTGAAAGACACGTACCATGGGAAACAGCAGGCGACATCACAGAACCTGGGGTCCAGGGAGCTCCGTTTGTGTGAGTGCCCTCTGTGATGTTCACGTAGCCAAATCAACTAAGTATGCATTTCACAGAACATACCCCATCTTTGAGTGACATATGATAAAATTTGCTTGTACCTTCTCACTTCAATGTATTCGATACTGATTATTTTCTGCCTTATGAAAAATACAGAAATATCTCAGCCCCTCTCTCCTCCTTCTTCCTGCCCCTAGTACTTATGAATTTTGTTTAAGCTGTTCTTGAATACCTTTTTAAAATTTAAACTTTTATAACTAAAAATGTCACTGTTTTGTGCTGCTGACTTTCAACAGTATCTCTGTGAGGCTGTCTCATGTGAAGAAAACCAGCAGGCTGCAAAGTAATGTCAGGACAAATAGATGATTCTGGAACTAGGATTTTTTTGGGAAACTTCACTGAGCACTCTTAGTGTTCATATTCTGAGCTGCTACATCTTCCATCAAGATGGGAAGATGTGGTTCCACCTGCTTTTTCTAAGTTTATTTTTATAATATAGTACCTATACAGAAAAGGGCATAAGTGAGAAGATTCAGTTTAATAAATTATCGCGATGTGAGCATCTGTATAACTGCCCCTCCAGTCTAGGCTAAGCATTGTCAGTACCTGGTAGGGTTTGCATGTAATATGTTCCCCAAGGCTGATATGTTGGGGCTTGGTCCTCAGTGCAGCAATGTTCAGAGGTGGGGCTTTGGGGAAGTGGCTGGGTAGTGAAAATTCTACCTTCATCAATGGATTAAAACATTGGTGAGTTCATAACTCAGAGGGCTTATTAGGAGGTAAGGCCTAACTGCATGAAGCAGCTCACCACCAGCATGGTTTTGAAGGAGATATTTTGTTCCCATCCTCTTCCACTCTGGATTTCTCACACTCTTGCTTCCTGGCTGCCACAAGGTGAGTGGTTTTCCCCTGCCATGCCCTTCCATCATGATCCTCTGCCTCACCACAGGCCCAGAAGCAATGGAGCTAGCTGACCATGAACTGGAACCTCTGAAACCGTGAGCCCAAATTAATCCTCTTTTCAATTGTTTATGTCAGCTGGTTAGTCACAATGATGAAAAACCAATGAATATAGTCCCTTAGAAGTCTCCCTGTTGTCTCTTCCCAATCACTGCTTTTCTTACAATGCCCCCAAAATAAGCATTGTTATGACTTTAATTGTAAACACTTCCTTGATTATCTTTATTATTTATACTTACAAGCATCCCTAAATACTATGGTTAAGTTTTACCTTTTATAATTAGGTTGGGGAAACGTTTTGTAAGTGCACAGACAGTAATTTGTTAAGTCTTGTCTCTTTTATTCAGTGTTCTATTGGTACAGTTCATCCCTGTGTATAATGTACATTCAGCTCATTCATTTTCATGATAGTGTAGTAGTATAGTATATGAATGTGATGATTGTCTTAGCACTCTACTTGTAATGGGGAAATACAAATTGTTTCCAATTTTGGGCTATTTTGGAAGTTGCTACAATGAACCTTATTGTATAGTCTCTTGGTATCTATTTGCATACTTTCTGTTAGCTATAAGCCTGGCATTAGACTTGCAGAGTCATAATGTACGTATTTCTTCACTTCAGTAGTTAATGCCAAATTGTTTTCTAAAGTGTTATTACCAATTTATAATCCCACTAGTGATGTAACAGTGCTCCTATTTTTCTGAATTCTCAACATCTCAGCAACTCTTGCTGTTATCAGTCTTTTGCATAGAGGCATATTGAATGTGTAGTAAAATCTCACTGTGATTAATATATATATGCCTCATTAATTATGATAATAAGCACATTTTATATGTTGTGGTGTGGAGGACCACCTAGGTGACTCTCCTTGAAAGAGGAGCAATTGCCTCCATTTTGGCTGAGCCTGACCCTATTTCCATGTATTGCTATGTACACAGCTGGCTAGGACTTTCCCTTATCCTGTCAATTGGCTTTAAGCAATGCATATTGGTCTAGCCGAGGTGCTGATGGTAGTCTTTGAAGACGGCAGGCAAGCCTGTTTCCCTGATCTTTGTTGTTCCCACGAGTGAACTGAGTGAACCAATATGAGGCAGGATGTGTGAGCCAATGCTCCTCGCTGGGGGATAGAGGCTATGACTTCCTGGGGCTGAAAGATTACACATCAGAGCACAAACACCAATGCCAAAACATTAGATACTATCTCAGTTGTGTTATGTAGATTACTCTTTCTGCATATCCTTCCCTGCATTTGCAGAGGTGATTTCAGGCCTCCTGCCTAGCCCAGCTCATGGCACTCACCTACTTCCCACGGTTCTCACAATCACTCCCTTTCAAGGCACTCCCTTCTTTATGAATGAATAAAACCTGAATTCAGCCTTGAGTTGAGGCCTTTGTTCCAAATAGCCATCATTGTGGCTGGACTTACGACCCCTTGGCTCCCCATAACTACAGATATGCCTTAGTGTCTTTATTCTCGCCATGGATTACACTGGAAGTGATAGATTGGAATTAATTCATTACAATTCCAATAACTTTTCATGGGATTACAAATATAAACTTTCTGGGCTGTGATGAGGACTGGAAAGTGCTCTCTATATTGTGGAACCATTTTAGCTAACTTCATTTATGACATGACCATTTTTAATTAAGTTAACTATTTTTTAACTTGGAGGAATATATTTTATATTGTCAGTGATATGTGTTACAAATATTTGCCCCAATAGGTGGCTAGTCTTTTCATTGTCTTAAATTGTCTTTGTTTTTTAAAACAATGTAATTTTGACAAAATATATCAATCTTTTACTTTTTGACTAGTGCTTTTTATGGCCTGTTAAGAAATGTTTCACTACTTCAATATCACAAAAATATTTACCTTTAGGATCTTCTAGAAGTGTTACTTTTTGCCTCTTCAGCACAGATCAATTCAGATCTTCAGCACACCCAGAATTGATTTTGTGAGTGGGTGTAATAAGGGTCAATTTTTATATTTTCTGTATAGATATTTAACTATCTCAGTCCCCTTTACTGTTAAGATCATTCTTGTCTTACTGCTCTAAAATACTACCATTTATATAACTCAAGAATTCATGGGTCTATTTCCAGATTCCTTATTGTATTTCATGGATCTATATACTGTTTGTCCTTGTCTTAAAAACTGTACCTTTATAATAGTCCTTAGTATATGTCAGAGCAACTTCCCCATCCTTATTTTTCTTCTTTAAGATAAATTATACCTATTCTTATAATGAGATTAGCATAAATTTCCCTATTGTCATAATGTATTAATTTGTCTTTCTCTGTAAGTTTGCAGACAATTACATCAATTATTTCTTAATTTTCAAAATTGCTTGGGGAGGTAAATGTGCCTGAATTTTTTTTTTACATC